GAAAGAAAAACAAAAAAGAAAAAGAAGACAAGCTAGGATCTAGAATCAATAAAGACCTAGAAATAGGCTAACCAGTCCCCGGCAACGGCGCCAAAGACTTGATACGTGTGTACCGAGTCTAGAATTTATACCCGATTCACAACTCACCGCAAGGATACGGATCGTCGTAACACGGGGTCGAACACGAGGACCGGTTGCTAAATCCAAATCTAGATCGAAAATAGATCAAAGCAAGTAAGCAAGTGATGGTGGAAATATGTAGAATCAATGGTAAGCAATATAAGAAAGTAAATAAAAACGAGTGACCTATCAAACAAGGATGACTACGGGCGTCGGGGTCGTATTCGCGTGTATGGGTATTTACTAAGCATGCATGAATAACGATTATGACTTGTATTCGGGAATCATCAAGCAACGATAATAGAGAATTCACCTCTCGGTCTACTAACTCACTATCTACAGAGTAACTCGTCAATCTCTCGATCTATTCAAGTTAACCCTAGATGCATGAAGAACGCTATCATCAACCCTAGATCGATTAAGCCATATCTCTATGTGAATAATACGATCTATCCTATTGATTTGATCCGAAATAAACCCATATATCTATGTGGTTCAGAATCCAAGATAATTGATCAAGGGGTTAGCAAACATCAATCCAATAAAAGTGCAAATCAATTGAACCGAATCAAATCAAAACTGAAATCCAAGTTAGGGTTCAAACATACCCAAAACACATACGAATCCCTAACCCATAGTCATGGATCTACTCAAGGTTCATGGAAAATAATAGAAAGAACAGAGAAAAAGAGATAAAAGAAGGGATAGAAAAGCTCATGTCGATGTCTAGTCTTCACGATCGAATCCTCCTTCTTCTTCCCGAAATCCCGTGAACTTCTATTCTTCTCTCACCAAAAGCTCTCCAAAAGTGTGTATCTAGGTGTTCTCTAAGGGTCTCCCCTGTTCTAGGACGTGGCTAGGGCTTTTTTATAACCCTAGGGCGGCTCCCAAGAGTCCTATTCCCATTCTGATGCTGAAAATCGCGAAACAGGGTTTTAGACTGGATCCGGACCGATTCCAGGTGGATCCGGACCAGATCCAGATTCATGGGGTCGAATTCTGCGTCCTTGATCCGGACCGGATCCAGTTGGAGCTGGCCCTGCGCTGGCAGTTTTCTGGTCTTCACGATTTCGCTCATAACTTCCTGCTCCGGTGTCGGATTTACGCGATTTTGGTGTCTACGCGAAGCTCTTGATGTGCTCTTTCTGATACAAGTTTCGCATGATTTGGACTTCTGTAGAGAAAGTTATTGATGTCGCAATATGAGTACCTCATCCGGACTTCTCCTTTAACGCTCCAAATGGCTCCTTTTCGAGTCCAATCATCTTCGAAACCTGTAATCTGCAAAACTAAAGCACAACCGGGTTTTTGTGTCCTAACACGACTAGAATGTCGCCTAGAATGTCCATGAATGAATGTGATTATCCCGTAAAACCTAGACAAACTCTTATCAAAATATAGAGAAGAATAGGAGTTATCATTCATGCATCCAGGGTTTTAGACTACTGAATCGAGAGATTAGTAGGATAAAGCCTGGATAGTGAGATTAGACTTGAGAGAGTTAATCTCCACTGTAGAGCTTGAGTTCCCTGAATTGGATAGATAAACCACTTCGTTTGCATCTTTTGAAAGATCCTTGCATGTAAAGCAATCCCGAAGCCTGCAATGTTTTCCATTGATTGTCTACACACGTTTTAGTTAATTGCTTTGTTCTCGACATTCCATTCTCCACATTCCTATTATTTTTCTTGGATTTAGATTTGGATTTGGGTTTAACTCCTTTGCTTAATTTTGTCCCTGTGTTCGACCCTAGCTACTACACACGATCCGTACACTTGCGGTTAATTGTTGAGTCTAGCATATTATAACTTGATTCTTAATGCGTTTGATCTTGTTGGCCACTTGATTGAATGAACTTAGGGTTTTAATTCGCATAGACATATGGGATTCTAACCTGGAAATAACTCAGTAGATAGAACAGGTATTGCATCGAGAGATGAATATTTGCCTAGGGATTATGATAGTGTTCGTTCATGCATCCAGGGTTTTAGACTATTGAATCGAGAGATTAGTAGGATAAAGCCTGGATAGTGAGATTAGACTTGAGAGAGTTAATCTCCACTGTAGAGCTTGAGTTCCCTGAATTGGATAGATAAACCACTTCGTTTGCATCTTTTGAAAGATCCTTGCATGTAAAGCAATCCCGAAGCCTGCAATGTTTTCCATTGATTGTCTACAACCGTTTTAGTTAATTGCTTTGTTCTCGACATTCCATTCTCCACATTCCTATTATTTTTCTTGGATTTAGATTTGGATTTGGGTTTAACTCCTTTGCTTAATTTTGTCCCTGTGTTCGACCCTAGCTACTACACACGATCCGTACACTTGCGGTTAATTGTTGAGTCTAGCATATTATAACTTGATCGAATTTATTCGCCTAGATTTGCGACATCAAGTTTTTGGCGCCGTTGCCGGGGACAATATAAGCAACATGATTAGATCTTGTCTAGTCTGGATCTTTTTGTTTTTCTTTTTCTTAAGTGATTTCTCACGTTTTCTTTGTTTTGTGTTGTTTTTCGTTTGTGTGCAGGGTTCACTAGTGCATGACCAGGAATTCTGGGATATCAGACGTAGTACCTCTTGATCCTGAACTTGAAAGAACCATCACACGCCTCCGACGACAGCAAAGACAGATGGAGAACAACCGAGATTTTGCTCTTCCTGATGGTGTCGAAGGCAATGCTAACTCAACCTTTGCCCAGTACAACACGCCTAAGCACACTGAGCTTTTGGCTGGTATTCGATTACCGTCCATCGACATGTCT